TTAAGTTCTTCCAGTTGTAGGCAAATTCAGCTTTGACTCTAGATAAAATGAAAAGCTTATTCACCATTTCATCAACATTGAAATGAAAGGAATTCCAGTAAGGGATTGGCGGGAAGAGACTGAGGAGAAATTCCTCACAACGTTAACTACCATAATGAAAAACATGAAGTGTAATACATGTCCATGTTTAATTAACCCAGTAATTAAATTATTCCTTTGCTTTTGCTGTATTCAATTAGTTTAGCACTTTCACCCTTCATGCTGTTAGTCATGCAGCTAGCGTTACTATTGCATTCTAATATCCACACACACCCTCTTCCTATTCCTTGTGACAAAATGGATTCACTAAAGAAAAATGTACATGGCCAGCTTTACATTGGTTTTTACATCCTTCTTTCCTATTTTTAACATTACTTTTTTTGGTAAAAAGAAATCTAACAATTGTATTGGTATCCACCCTCTGCATTTTCTTCCCCACACTTAGGACAATCTCGAGGCATAACATAGAAGATTAGGAATAAGATCTGTCTGCAAAATAATATGTCAGTGAAATCATATGACAAGAAATCAGGTGAAAAATTCTCCAGACTATCTCCCCCCCCCCCCCCCCCAAAAAATCTAGAGAAACTCTACAGAACAATTTTAAAAAAAATCACTTCAGTTCAATTTTGGAATATCAGTTTGTCCTAGTGTTTTTAGTTCTTTGATGAGATGTTTCATTTCACAACTGAAGTGTTTTGTGACCAACTGGATGTTCTCACAGCACCAATTTTGTGGGAATCTGATGGGTTACTAAAATACCTATGCAATCTGGAACTTTAAAAATGAAATTATAATTAGCAATCAAGCAATACAATGTATTAATTAACATTTGAGGTTCATAGCACAAAAGACAATTAAATTACAAGTCGTCTTCTTCTCCTTCTCCTTCTCCTCCTCCTTCTCCTTCTCCTCCTCCTCCTCCTTCTCCTTCTCCTTCTCCTCCTCCTCCTTCTTTCTTTTCTTCTTCCTCTTCCTCTTCTTTCTTCTTTCTTCTTCTCTTCCTTTTTTACCACTTTAGATGTCAAGGGAGATACAAAGTTTTAGCTCTTGCTCTTCTGGTGGCCTCGACCATTGATTAAATAATAAGTGGTTAACAATAATATGCTTAGCACACTGTTAAATTCAATGAAAGAAAGACAAAAGTTCCAAGAAACAGCATATTCAGTTTCATAGAAGAAAACTAAAGCAGGAATTCCAAGGGGTCAAGGAAATGGACATTCAATGAGTTATTTGTTTTACATAGTATTCAGCTACAGAAGGGGAAGGCAGAAAGAGAAAGATAGAAATTCCTGCAACACCACAGAAATCCATATTTTTCAGGCTTTTTGCCATAGCAAAAAGGGAAATAAATTTACAACTTGTAGGATTCACCCCCATTCTCTACACATGTGCACAATGGGAGTTCTTTTTGCACAGGATCTGCTTTGTATGGGGATGAAAATTAAGTAGAGAGAAGGTTTTGGACACAAAGAAAGGGTGGAGCAGAGAGACAGAAAAAATATATTTCCTCTGTAATGTGTGGCTGTATAAACACACCATTCTTGTCTTCCAAAGATTGGTAGTAGATGGATCTTCTGACAGTTGGAAGGGAAAGGGGCTTATGAGTATCTGCTTGCCAGTGCTGCCTGGCCTAATTAGCTTGGTCTACTTCTTGGTTTCCTAAAGTCAGGATTCTCCAGGAACTGGGGTCTCAGATCAATTCATAGGATAGGCCCTTGTCATACCATTTCTTTGCCTGATTCTGGAGCCAGCTATCAGGATGAAATTAGCTGGCTCTCCCAGTCCTCAAAGCCCAACACAGAGAGAACATGGGAAGACTCTGCTTTTGAAATCTAAGAAGGCAATCCACCAGAGGAGCTAAATTCAGTTCCTGTAAGGCCCAGACAATTCCCAGATGCTATTATACTAAGTGAAGGTCCATGATAGGCCTCTGTGCATTTGGGATTCAACCAGGCTGGACTTAAAGATTCTCCAAACTCCTTTGGATTAACAAAAGAGGTTCCAAGGAAGAGCCTATAAATCACTGAAAATCACATCCCTATTCTAATTTTTTTTTTAAATGGATCCAGGGATTAGCAATATTTGTTATCTTATGTGGCTTTTGGTTACATCTTTGGTGATTTTGCCAAGTCCCACAATCAGCAATGTAAATACAAATAGCTAAAGGAAGATGTTTGTCCATTCCCAGTTGTAACAGTAACAGAGTTGGAAGGGATTTTGGAGTTCATCTAGCCCAACCCCCTACTCACCCAGGAGACCTGTACTAGGGAGTCGAACCACCGAACTGCCAACCTTTCTGATCGACAAGCTCAGTGTCTTAGCCACTGAGCCACCTTGTCAGGCTCAGTGTGCAAAGTTCATCCTTGAATTCTTTTAATATCATCTTCATTCCCTGTCGTTACTAGAATTGATGTATACAATGGGATCATGGAAGCGGTGATTGAAAGTAATTGGTCCTTTTGCCATCTAGATCTGTCTGCCAGAGACTCTTTCTAACACATAATAAAAGAACCATTTCGGCAATCTGTGCTTTTGATCTGTTGGTTTGATCATATTCTTAAGATTGCACAAACACTGACTCAAACTGGGGTACAATTTAGAGGGTAGGAGAAAAAAACCCATCCCATTTAAAATAAAGCTGTGTGAAACAGTGCCTTACTTCCTCTAAATGGAGCAAGAAAAACTGCCTTGTAGACCTGGATCTGCAGAGCCTTACCTTGTATCAACAATACAAGCCAGATTCTCAGCTCTTTTGAAATATCACTCTGTGTAAAGCAACGAGGGGGAAAACTATTGGCGATATTACCTTTCAGCAAAATGCTCATTTGATTTAGGAAGCAGCATGCATATAATCGAGTCAGTAACGAAATTAATTGTGAGTACCTGGCATCTCTCCAAACAAACAGCATTCGGTCCTTCGTTATCTCAAATTGCTTCTGTCACTAATTAATCAACTCTTCATTCATAACTCCATAGATCTAGTTCTGCTTACAGTTTAAAGAAATAACGATGAATAAATTAATTATGTTTATTTCTTGGAAAATGTTTTATATAAAAAGTAAAGGGAGCCTATTCCTAAAAAAAGTTGCAAGGTAATGCAATATGAAAAGTATGCAGGGGTGGGCTCCTGGGGGCTTGGCAGAGTTCGGGCAATTCTCTAGACAAGGATCACCAGGGTTTGGCAAACCCCCAAATGCAACCCCTGGTTGGCCACGCCCACCCCACTCCTCCCCTACCAGGAATCTCCACGCAGTCTGTTCATCATTCCAGGTAAATGCAGGGGCCTCGCGGAGGGTCTGGGAGGGCAAAAAACGGACCTACCGGAAGTTCTGAAAGTCTGGAAATGGGCCTGTTTCTGGCCTCCTGAGGGCCTCCAGACCCCGGGGGAAGCAGTTTTCACCCTCCTGGAGGCTCAAGGAAAGCCTCTGGAGCCTGGGGAAGGCAAAAAAAACGCTCTCCCCCTCCCCCTGCTGTGCTCCAGGCAGCTGACTAGGCCATGCCCACCATGGCCATGCCCACCCAGCAATGGGGCAGCGAACCTGTTACTAAAGGATCTGAAGCCCACCCCTGAATATGCAGTTTGAAAATAAGATGCTCAAGAATACAAAACATAGTTTCCAGTCTGCATTTTGTCAAGTAGCTGATTAACACATTCATTTGTTTTGTCTTTCCTTCTCCTTTTCTCTGGACTTCCAGTTGGGATTTTATTTATTTATTTATTTATTTATTTATTTATTTATTTATTTATTTATTTATTTATTTAATTTGTATACCGCCCTTCTCCCTTTGGTGTATCCCTTTGTCCAAATCCTGCAGAATAAATCTTTCTGCATTTCCTCCAAAACAAGATGTGCTGGAGAATCTCAGGAAGTGAGTCAGGTTGAGGGTTGGCTTTCTCCTTGCAAAATTTTCAGAAATCCTGAAATTTTGTTTTTGCTCAAGGACGATTAGTAAATTACGGGTAATCCTCAATTTATAACAGTTCATTTAGTGACCATTTGAAGCAGTGGTGGGTTCCGCCTGGTTCCGCCCGGTTCCGCCGAGCCGGTAGCAGTGACGATATGACATCACCGAACCGATTCTGCCCCCTCCACCCCCCCTGCATTATTCTTACTTTTTATTTGGCCCCACCCCCAATCTATTGCTGCCTCCTGAGTCCCAGCTGATCGGCTAGAGGGAAAAAAATATTTAAACTCTTGCCACAGGGCTTCAAAGGGCCGCCCTACAGCTGATCAGTGTTAAAAGAAAACAAATGAGTAGACCAGTGCCTACAAAAATAAATGAGTAGACCGGTGCCTGCAAAAATAAATGGGTAGACCAGTGCCTCCAAAAACAAATGAGTAGACCGGTACAGCTCTGCTGTACTGGTAGACCAGTACCTCTGCTAAATCCTAAGGAATTGTCACATGACCATCAAGCCACGCCCACAAAATAAGCCACACCCACACAACCGATAGTAAAAAAATTTAGAACCCAACCCTGATTTGAAGTTACAACAGCACTTCTGACCATTTTTTACACTTCTGACCATTGTAGCATCCCCATGGTCATGTGATTTACATTCAGATGCTTGACAACTGATTCGTATTCATGATGGTTGCAGTGCCTGAAGATCATGGGATCATATTTTGCAATAATAATTTAACAACTGGTCCTCTCCCCTAATGACCGGATGGGTGGGCATGGCCATAGTGGACGTGGCCAGGTGTGTGACAGGCAGCACTCGGCCTCCTGCAGCCCCCTGGGAGAAAAAATGGACCGGGGGGGGACATGCTGCCCCCCGACCTGTGTTTTGGGCCTAGTAGGCCTCCCTGAACTTACCTAGGAGCCAAAATGGGGCACGTGGGGACTCCTGGAAGGGGTAGGGAGGAGTGGGGCCAGGCAGCAATTTAACTACCAGTACTCCCAAACAGGCTGAATCCCACCACTTATGTATCACAATATTTTTGCCTTTGTAGAGACGGGTTGGGTGTGGCCTGCGCATGACGCATCCAGCCCATGGGCTGCCATTTTGACAGGCCTGCTCTAGAAGATCTAACTCCAGTGAATCTGGAATTATATTATATGTAGTTGAAGAATCTGAACAATGTAAGATCTCAGATCTCTAAATCTGTTACAGATGAAAATACCTAACCTGATATCTGTAAATATGTGTGCTTGTTTATATGTCATTGTGTGATGTCATTGTGTCACTTACCATTGGTTAGTACTTACCATTAGCCCCGCCTTCTCTGTATATAAGTTCTTGCTCCTCCCAGATTAGTGCCTGTCTAATTGTGTTCCTGAGGAAGAAAAGAAATAAATATTACTATTACAAGAAAGCCTACAGTCTCTTATATATGGGCCTAACCAGGATAACCAAACTAGCAACAAATTGGTAGCAAGAGGATGGTTTGGTAGGCCCAACCGAACATAAAGATGCAAGACTCACATAACGACAAAAGAAGACCTGCCACCAGATACATAACGAAAAGAATGGCAGCTCAACTAACTCCTGACAAATATACACCACTTGAAAATATTAAGAAACAAACGCAATTACAAGAAAATGAACTGCTAACACCAAACAAAGAAGATGAGGTAAAAAGAAAAATACTAGAATTAATAGAAACAACTACAGCTGAATCAAATCTGCTTGTGAAAATCCGCAGCATAATAAACGACCACGGAACAGCAGCAGATAACGAAAATAACAAACAAGAAAACTGCAAGGTAAGAAATTCAACCCCTGACTTCAAAAATGACACCAAAGATGGCGACAGCTTCCCGCCTTTTTCATGGCAGCCATCTTACCCACCTAATACCTCTAAAATGCCTGACCAATTACTAAAAGAATTCCAAACCTCAAACTACGAAATAAAAAACAAAACCTACCAAGAAGATGATTACCCGAGTCCAAAAACAAATAAAAAACAATTATTTAAACAAAACAAAGCTCAACCTACTGAAGTAGAAATAGACAATGCTATACAGGTGCTAACTGCAGCACTCGGGACTAAACTAACAATACCAAACAAACAACCAGAAAATGAAATAGAAAATTCTAAACTACCATCTACCAAAGGCCAAAAAGAAATAGACTGTCTAAAGAAAGGCCTAGCCACCCGAAGAAAGACAAGCTGGCAATCATACTTACCTACTGAAGAGCAGCTCCCTGAACAACCCGGCTCCATTGGCAATGGCGGCCCGCCTCAAGCTCCACTTACTGACGACCTCAGAGAAGACTCCCCGATGAGCAGAGCAGCACCCCAGGCATTCTTCAGTCACCAGAGGCCCTCCGGAAACAAAGCAGAGCAACAGAAGGCCGTCTGGGACTTCACCCCAGGAGCTGCAGACACAGGAACCTCCCTCATCGACTGCTGGAGAAAAATGAGGACTGAGCATGCCCAGAACGAGCCTGCAAAGAAAGAAGAAGGAAACATAAATACAAGTCAGCGCAACATAGAGATAAGTAAATACAGACATACATCTACCATACCCAGGCCTTATTGTGAGTATGCTAAGGTCTTAAATCATGGACAGCTACTAAACATGAATAACACCTCACTACACTCAGGGACAATACCTCCAGACTTTATAAAATTGAAATTAGATGGAAGCAACTTAATGGAATGGGATCAGTGTTTACAGATTGTATATATGAAAGAAAATGTTTTATTTTTTATTGATAACCCACCAAATAAGCCTTGGACCTATGAAATAGACTGCCTCCACCACAAAGCATACTATATGTTAATTGTTTCTATTTCCCCAAGTATACTCCCCAGTATAGAGCATAATTTAACTGTATTTGAAGTATATCAAAAATTATTCAGACTGTTCTATAGCAAAAATGTAGCCACTACCACAAAAATCTCTAGGGAATTCTATTCTGCCAAACTAAAACATGATACATCCATGAGTGAGCATATCTTGAATTTAAACGCTGTAAGAGCAGACCTTATTCAAAGGGGAGAAACCATTTCTGACAACACCATGAAAAGCATTATAATTAACTCACTAGATCACAGCTGGGATAACTACATTACACTAATAGATAACCTAAGTATAGAGCAAATTACTTTAGAAAACCTTACCAATAAGCTTATTACTGAAGATAGACTTAGAAGAGAGCGATATACACAACAAAGAGAAGGTAGAAATCAAAGAAGGACTGATTTCAGGGCCAGAGACAGATACCCACATGAATGTCTCACATGTGGATCTGAAAGACATCAGAGTAGAGACTGTCCCAAGAATATAGGATACAGTGACTCATATAAACACAAGGATAGAAGAATACACTTTTTAGACAGAACCTCCCCAGATTACAGGTATAAGAGAAGAGAATCACCACACTCTAGAGAAAGACAAACATACAGAAATAACCCTAGAGAAAATAAGAAAGGATCACTATATGGAATAAGAAATAATAACACTTTGATATCTGATTCACTCAACACCTGGCTCATAGATTCAGGAGCCACATGCCATACAACTCATAATAGAGAAATATTAAGTAACTTCACTGAAAAGAAATATTATATTAAAGTAGCAAACCAAAATAGAGTCCTAGTGAGAGGAATAGGAGACACGCATATAAAAGGTATAGGAAAAATAGAGGGGGTACTATTTGTGCCCGAAATTCCAAATAACATATTGGCAACCCTAAAGTTAAGCTTAGACAATGCAATAGAAACCACTTTCAGAGGTGGAAAGGTATTCATGACTAAGAACAACAGAAACATAGGTAAACTATTTACAAATGATGGACTAACATACCTACTGCCACAAGATAACGAACTAGTCTATGCAAACTATCAATTAAGAAACAAAAAACCAAATTCAGATAGCCATGATGAAAATAATGATAAGAATGCATCAAACACTGATACTAATATGTCTGAAAATTTAAACAATGGAAAACCTATTCACGATAATTGTAGTCACTTACTCCACAGAAAGCTAGGACACGCGAGCTTTCCAGTCATACGAAAAATGTTAGAGTGTTCCGAAGATTTAAAAATAAAGAACTGTAAAAATTACTTAGAATGCTCTGTATGCAATTCTTCCAAAATTAAAAACAAGCCAAAACCCAAAAAAGCCACCCGCACCACACAATCAACCTTTCAACTAATTCATATGGATGTAGTAGGCCCATTAAAACCTTCAATTAAATACAAAAAAAGATACTTCCTGACCATAGTCGATGACTATAGTAGATTTGGTTTTGTATACACCCTTAACCACAAAAGTGAGGTTTTCAAAAAATTTAAGGAGTTCTTTAAAATGGTAGAAACACAATACAATACCAAAATCAAACAAATAATGACTGACAGGGGGTCGGAATTCCTATCCAACGAATTTTCAATTTGGCTAAAATCACAAGGAATATTGCACTTTAAATCTTGTCCATTTTCCCCATTCCAAAATGGAGTCTCTGAAAGGAAGAATGGTTTGCTACAAACCATGGTTAAATGTGTGTTAGATGATGCTGGTTTAAACCAGTCATTCTGGGCTGAAGCCCTTAATTATTCCAATTACACTATAAATCGCTTATGGTCCAGTACAATCAATAAGACCCCATACGAACTCATGTATGGAAGGAAACCAAAAATTGGGCATTTACACGTATTTGGTGTATCTGCTGATGTATATGTGCCCTCACAGTTAAGACGCAAAGGAGAGAAAGTATCCAAAAGACTGATATTTATGGGGTACGAATCAGGAACCAAGGGATATCGCTTCATTGATAAAAATAATCACTTCATTGTATCCAGATCTGCCGTGTTTCATGAACACATGAACTGGTCAAAATTACATCTCAATGAAATTTACCCAGAATCAAAAAATATTACACACACGCACGCAAAACATCACACATCAGATACGAACCCCAAATCCACATCTACTAACAGAATCAAATGCCCAGTAATAGTTAATGATGAATGGAAAAAAGGACACCCCACTTTGAAAGTAGATCAATTAACCGAAAAAGAAGCTAAGTATATGCATAGCGATGAACATCCCCAGAATAGGCCCATTAGATCCAATAGGGGCATAATTCCTAAAAGATTAGATGATTACGTACTGTCTATCCAAGCTAAACACCTGACTCCTAACACATATGATGACATACTTAAGCTACCCCTAGAAGAAAAAAGTAAGTGGGAGGAAGCAATGAAAAAAGAGATGGACAGTTTGAGAGAACTAAATGTATATACACCAACAGACCTGCCCACTGAGAAATCCCCTATTGGCACTAGGTGGATCTATAAAATCAAGGAGCTAGAGGATGGTAAATTCCTATACAAAGCCAGGTTGGTGGCTCAAGGCTTTGCCCAAAGATTTCCGGATGACTATGAAGACACTTATTCCCCAACCGTTAGATCAGAAAGCGTGAAAACAGCACTAGTGTTAGCTTCTATCTTAAATCTGGAAGTATATCAATTTGACGTGCAGACAGCCTATCTGCACGCTGATCTAGATAAAGAAATTTATGTGAAAGCACCCCCAGGAAAGGATACAAAAAAGGGAGAAATTTGGCTATTAAACAAGAGCCTTTATGGACTAAAACAGTCCGGTAAGCGGTGGTATGAGTGCTTATCAAAGATACTTAAAAATATGGGTTTTGTAGCTACTTCATCTGATTTTTGTTTTTTCACAAAAAAAAATAATGATTCTATTGAATATGTTTTGATTTATGTTGATGATATATTGTATTTTGGACACGACAAAATTAAATGTGATAATTTCGCTGAACAACTAGGCAAAAATTTCAACTTAAAAATATTAGGAAAGGTAAATAAGTATCTAGGAGTCCAAATTGACAAAACAGATAAGGGGTTCAAATTATCTCAGAAAGACAAGATTATGGAACTCATACAAAAATGTAATTTAATTAATTCAAAAATTTGTGATACTCCTATGTCAACTGATTTTTATAGGAATGTGTATAATGAGTACGAACCATTCAAGGATAACACGTTATATCGATCAATTATTGGGTCCTTATTATACATATCTAATTGGACCAGGCCTGATATCACCCTTGCTGTAAATTTGTTGTCAAGACATGTAAGCAATCCTAACTCATACCACTGGGAAGGAATTAAGAGGATTCTAA